TTTCCTGCCCGGGCGGACGAGCGCCCCCGGCGAGCCGCCGCTTCAGGGTGATGAACAAGCGCTTTGATCACAGGACAGGCGACGGGCTCCAGAGCCGTGAGATTTTACAGGCGATCAAGGTGGTTTCCCTTCCCCCCCCGGTTTGCTCCGTGTGGTGGAGGCCGCAGGGTTCAGGGTGCCAAGCTGTCCCCTGCACCCGTCAGAAACTTGAAAAGGAAGGAGCCGAAGGTGGCTCGGCTGCGAGAGGAAAAGCGGCAGGAGCCGAGGCTGGGATGGAAGCACGGGAGCCCCTGGCACTTGAGGCGGGGCCGGCCGCCAGCTGCACCCTCCTGCTCTCCCCAGATGAACTTCTCTGACAACAGAAAAGTTTTGTGCCTCAGGTGGACCAAACGAGTGTTCAGAGATGTCCAAGAATTAAGGTCTACGGTTAAATCTTCACCTAGTCTTACTTAGCTCACACGTACTTACCCGCGTGTCCGTCCCTTCACTGCCTCTCTGCTCCCGCGAGCCAGGGCAGGGCGCTGACGGGGCGCGGTCTGTGGAAGAAGCGCCCTCCGGCGGCGGTGCAGTCACCTGCCCTGGAGGTTTTCAATAGGAGACTGGACAGTCAGCTCGCTGGGGTCACCTGACTCCGGTTGTCTTCCTGCCTTGTGGGGGGGGCTGGACCTGATGATCTGCGAGCTCCCTTCCAGCCCCTGACAGTCTATGACTCTATGAACTGAGGCACAGAGTGGGTAGGTGGCCTAAAATTACAGAGAAAGTCAACTGAAAATCAGGGAATCTTTTTAAGAGGCCTAGTCTCTTGACCAAGCACTTTTAAAAACTCCTGTCCTTGTAACCCAGAGGTGGATTCTTGGCACTTACGACAAGGTCCAGGCGAGTGAATGCAAATCCAGAGGTCCACTCAAGCAGCTCAGATTGCTGGACTGAGACCCTAATCCAGGTGCAGGCAATTATTTTGGGCAGAGAGCCACTTACTGAGTTTTGTCATGCAGCCCTCGATGGCTTGCCAGGCAGCCAGGGGCAGATTAATATTAATTTTCTAATTTTTTTAGGTGACCCGTGGGCCAGACAGAATTTTGCCCATCCCTGCCCTAATCCATGCAGCATCAGAACTATGGCCACTTCTAGGTTGGAGGGCAGCAGCTATGTAGTCCACAGGTAACTTCTTGGACACCTTAACAGCTGTTCCTTATTTGAAACTTACTGTTCCTTTTCAGATAGAGAGAGGACACATTTTCTGCTCCATATTTCAAACATAATCAGGCTGGCAATCAATGTAATTCAATTTATTAATTTGTGCCAAAAATACAATAGGGCTGCCTCAAAAAATAAGCTTCACCCTCTACTATTTATTTAGGTATGCAGCTTAGATGTGAACTCCAGCTGCACTGCAAAAAGGAGTGTGGAACATCTGACTAAGGACATGGGCAAATGTTCACCCTTATGAGAGCACAACGGTTCAGTAAGAGCTGAAAAGGACCTCAGTCAATGCCACGAGATTAAAAAAGCCATTTTTTGGGTAGCTAGCCTTCAGGACAAATAATCACATCAGGATGTTCATATTGGCACCAGTACTATACTTTCACGGCTGTGATACAAAAGCACAACCTGCTTTTACAAAACATGAAAGAGATTGAGATGTTTGGGAAATATTTCACTTTGTAGAGAACAGACCTGTTTTAACGGGTTCAGGGTACATTCTTCCTGAAGAGGGAGAGAGAGACTAGGGCCCTGACAACACATTGTTCATGAGGGGGCCATTTCATTTTTACTAGAATTTATTGAAACATTATTAATCCACACATTTTAAAACCTGATTTTGTACAAGCTTGGAGATTCTTAATTGTTTTAAGAAACTACATATTGATGTTGAATTCAATACAAATGCCCCTTTGGATCTTCCTGGTTTGACATGGGCTCCTAGTTCAAAATGCCATGAGAGAAACTATTGCAGGGAGATGTTTTTGCCATTGTTTTTAGAACTCTCCCTTGTGGATATATGGGGTTTAAGAATATTTTTTGCATACTTTCTATTGCATTAAATAGACCCTTTTAACCCTGGACAACCAGGTTTTTCCTTTTCTTTTTGGCAGACAATTACAGTGCTAAGTACTAATACTGTTTGTCTGCTGAAATCCTTCCCTTGTAGGTTAGCATCCAACCCTTTAAGACATTAACAGTACACATTAATAACTTCTAATTAACAAGTTATGGGGAACTGCATATAAATGCCCTTTCCAAGTGTGCAGGTACCTTTTCTCTGTTAAAGCCCGCTCCGCCTTCCCCCCGAAAAAACACCCTACTGCAGCTAAAACTTGCATAATGGCTTCTCTCTCTTTAGGTACTTAATTCCCCTCCAAGGATTTCCAGCTATAATGAATTCAGAATTATTTTGCTCTGCCACATGTTATGGATTTGTGCCAGTGCTGCTATTTGCTGCAGTGCAAAGTACTTGGAGAGAAAAAAAGAATTGGACTAGAAACTGAAGCCAAGTCAGCGGAACTCAATTTTGACCCCTTTCTAGTTGTCTAGGGAGTGGTGCACTTGGACTCTGAACAAGTTTCACCACGTTCTCCCAGTCCAACGGAAAGTATCTGTATTACATGATGCTGAACAGGGAAAAATTAAGTGGAGGAAATGGGTGGAAGCCTAAAGGCTCCAAGAGGTCAATGGAAGAACCCAGTTCTCTTTAAAAGCAAGATTCCTCACTCTCAATACAGACAACACACTCATCATGGCAAAAACCCTCAAGGAAAATTCACCCTTTTTTTGTTTGGTCCTGCCCAGGGAGAAGGCGAGAAAAAAACATTCCTTATTTCAACACTCAAACTTGCAAGTGCTTTTCAAATATGGTTGAGTGCTCTACCAACTGAATAACAAAGGCAGGATAAGGTGGCACCTTATCAACTAGTTCAGAGACATGAGCTTTCATAGACTATGGCCTAGTATTCCTGTTCTCTGCAAGTCTGTTTATAGCATCTGACAAAGTAGGCTATAAAAGGACTTGCAGAGAGCAGAGGTACTAGTCTGTAGCCTACAAAAGCGCATGCCTCTCTGAACAAGTCAGATTTCAAAGGTGCCACCTTGTCCTGACTTCTACCTAATTAACCCCTCTCAGGTTCTATTACTTCACCTTCTGACACCTCGTCTAGATAGAGCCTCTGTCCTTTATTGCAAGCTTTTCCACTGTAACATCTATAATCATATCCAAAGCAAGAGAACAAACCTCCTCCTGCTTCCCCAAAAGTTAAAGTAAAGGGTGCAAGGAGGAAAGAGTCCTTTCTAGGGCTTTGGTATGTATAGCTCCACACCTTCGCTTCTTCCTTGGCTCTTCTTTCCATATCAAAAGTCCTTTCTCCGATTTCAGTCTACTTTGACCACTGCGAAAGGGTTATGGCTGGGGAGTTCATTGCATCCATCTCCATCAAGAACACCACTATGAAACTAGAGCTTTGTATTCCCATTAATTCCAGATTTATGGTACCCTACTAAGGTGGTCCTATGAACACTCTGCTGTCCTCTGGGCTTGTAAAGTAAAACATGCATCCTACATAAACAATGAACATTGTCCAGCTATTATATGTAACAATTCATTAAAGAATCTCAAAGTAATTACACTGGAATTAGTAACTTTATGCTCATATACAAGTCTGCACAAATACAGAGTGATTACCACAAATGTCTGGTCTTTCAGGACAGTTGCAGGTCCTGTGAAAAAAGGTTTAGCTGTAGATGATTTTGCTTTGATTGCCTGAGAAGTCACATGAATCCAAGACAATTAGAACAGATAAGAGAACGGATGTTAAATGGATCTCAAAGCAAGTGGCCCATTACTGATATTGAGAACCACTGTAAGTCAGTGAACTGTAGAGACTAGCACTGTAGCCTGTCTGCTGGGCACACTCTAGTGAGACAGGTTCCGTATCACATCATCCAGGAAGTAACAGAAGCACATGAGCTACATTCCTGAAGGAGAACTCAGGCTTGATAAAAGACTTACCAAGAAAATACCACCTGAACTTATATGCAATGTCACTTGCACTGCTTAAGAACATTGCTTTGAATGTCACTTCCCCATTGTTATTTGAATTGTTATAAAAGCAGATTATACTGGAGATGTTTATATTACATGCATACAAATCTTTTTAAACAGACAATAATCAAAATCAAGCATTCAAAAAAAGTTAGGAAATGCCAGAATAAAGGTTGCCAGTTCAATTTTCTTCATTCCTATTTAACTACATTAACACATGCTGTTTTTTTCCCCACAAAACATTGGTCTCATTCATTTCAGAGCAGAAGATGCTAATTTAGAACATAGCTACTCAAAGTTTTGTTTTACCTCACTGTTCACTACACTCAATTTACCACACACCATTCAAAACCTTCTCTGAAGGCAGAGGAAACCCTTGTGGGTTTCTTCCACAGAGCTCCTTTGCTAAAGCAGTAATTCTCAATAAGGGTGATGACACACCCTGGAGTGTCTCCAGATTATTTGAAGGGTGCCATGAGTTGAGAGGAGGTAAGCAGGTAAATACAGGTGCAGGCTTGCCCCTGCCTGGCCAATCCCCCACCTCACAGCTTGGCCTTTCTGCAAGGAGTTAAGTGTTGTAATATATAAATTAGGTTTTTGAAATTGGGTGCCACTGTCTACTCAGTCCAATGAGGGGTGCCTCAAGTCCAAAAAGCATGAGAACTACTGCTCTAGAGAATGAGTGCTTCACAAATATTAACTATTTGATTTTCACAGCACTCCTGTAAAAATGAGGGGGTATCATAGCCTGCATTTTACAGAGGTACAGACATAAATCTAAAAAATATTCACTAAAGGTACAAATAAAAACTTATACACAAGTAGTAACAATCTGTCAAAGTGTGGGTTGCAGGATTTGCCCAGCAACACAAAGAACTGTGTCAGGTCTCCAGAGTTGTTTTCAAATGTCTTAACCAGGAGACCCTCCTTTCCTTCCCTGTGGTTCACTGATACACTGAAGAGGCATCTTCCAACTTCTGCAAGAAATAATGACATAATTCTATAGACAACAGCCTCTTTCACTACTTAACCCTGGTTTATTCCTAGAACAGCGACTGAAGCAGGGGACGAAGGAAAAAGCAACTTTAATTCTGGCATCCCCCATAGTTTTTGGAAAAAAAAAAAATGGAAAAAAGAAAAAAGGAAAAATTCCTTCATGTAGCATCAGATGGAGAACTACACAAATCAGCAGCCAGGTTGGAACTGTCCATCATAGAAAACTCTGCCACTTAAGATAATGGAATAACCAGCAGCAGTAATGGATTACCACCCTTATGGTATCCCACATTAGATGGGGGATAAGTCACGTTATTAGAAAGTTTGCAGATATTCTCTGATGGGGGAGAAACAATGAGACTCAGTGTTGGACTCCATTCAAAGCTGTGGATGGGAGCATCTAATAAGAGCAAATCCTTCTTATAGTTTCTTTTAAGTCAGTGATTATCAACCAGGGTGCCATGGGATCCTTTAAAGGGTGTTGCACAATATTAGTGCTGTTTGATATGCAAATACTCATACATAATTCACAAGACAAATCCAGAGATTTCACATGGGAATCCATAGTGTCAAAAGTATTCTGAGACCTGTTGGGGTCTGAGTATTGTGCAACAGAAGAATTGCTCTAGTATTTTTCTGTAGTAAAAAATGATTGAAAACTAAGAGCTGGCAAGGGATGCCTTGAGTCTAACAAGGTTGAGAGCTACTGATCTAAGCTTCTATGCTTTTCCCTAAACCTGTCCCTACCCTAGTCCTCTCTCTTCCTCATCCTAAACTTCTCAACCCAGTCCTGTTCTCCACACCAATCTACTCCTAGTCTTCATTCCTCAGATTTCTTATCCCAATACCCATCTTCTTACCCTGGGGCCTACTCACCCCTGCATCTTCTATCCAAGTCCCAGTGTGTTCCTGCCACTCCTATTCTCTATCTCCTTGCCAGTCAGTCCCAATTTATCCCTACAAGCTCCTCATACAATCAGTCTCTTTTCTTCCTCCCTAACCTCCTGTTACCCCAATGCTTCTCTTCCTTTTTTTTTTCTCCACACTGCCTGCATATCAGCATGAGACCTGAAAGCACAAGAGAGAGACTTCTTCCTTTCAGTTCTGGTGTCCACTCACATCCGGCATAGTTCACCTAGAAGGAAACTGCAGTTGGAGGGAATATCCTGCTCAGCACCCATTAGCCCTAGGTTGGAGCATGCTTGGCGAGGACAAAATCTTCAGGTAACTAAGCCGCAAAGCTCTTGGAAGTCAACATGTGAAAATAGTGAACATGTGAAAATAGCCATTTTTCCCTTAAACATGGCCAAAATTTGGACAGATTTTCACAGGAACAGCAAAAAAGGTACATCACAGCAAAAGGCATTGACAAAACAGAGGGGCAGTTGAGTTATTCCAAAAAAATAAAAATAGTGTTGGAAGTGACATAATTTTGATGGTTCTAGATACATGCGAGAGGCAAGGATTTTGCTAAATCCCATGCCAAAAGAGGCACCAGAATATTTTTACATAGACAAATCAATGTATATTTGTCCTAGCCTCATTTTCAGCAACTGAGCCATTTTAGCTGCAATTTTCCAAAAAATCTTTGAGGCAGACTTGAAGCTAAGGTAACTGATAATTTCCTCCCAAATTGTTAGCATTTGATAAACTGATGAGCAGCTGAAATTGTGGGTCTTTTAACATAAAGCAGCAAGCAACCTTACCCTTTGGTGGTACCAGACAGGCCTGTAAATGTTTGGGGATACATTTTACAGAATCATGGCTCCTTTCTATGATGAAATACTATTTTAGAAGCTTGCCTTTTAATTTTCTTGAATGTTTAGCCTTCTTGCTTCCAGGGAGAAAAATATTTAAGGTTCATTACACCCTTCCTTTGCATTATCTGAGTAAAATACAGACTTCTGGTGCCGGAGACCTTGTTACAATTAATGTTACAGATATGTTTTGGGTTTTTCTTTGTTTTCATCAAGGACTAGTTTTATAACCTCCACAACCCTATGGATGGGAAATTTTTAAAGCATATGACATTGCTGTAACTGTTCCCAGCAAGGTCAAGTGGCCAAAGTTTCAGATCTATTCAGCATTTCTCTAAGTCCCACACCAGGTGTGAACTACTGGTAAGCTGTGAAGGTGTAACAAGCACCCCAGAAGCCTTCACAAAAGCCTCTGGTTAACTCAGGCTGAGAACCACATCCTGTGTCTGCTTAGGACTGTTCTGAAGATACAAAGCAGCCTTGCTACCTTTTAACTGGGGCTTACCTAAAACGTCCATGCAAAAATATGTAAAATACTTTAAACAAGTTAGTTTGTACATAACTCATATGAAAAGATATAGGTAGCTGTCATATACATTCAAATACTGACGAAAATCATACAACCTGTGCCAAGACATGTTTATGACATGAGGATCTTGTTTGTCTAAATAAATAAGGGCTTCAAAACAGCAGAGTGTCAGTCCCCCAGAGTACCAATCCCATAAGTTTCTTCTGTAGAGATGACTTGCCCAGACAGAAATGAGGATCCCTCCAGCCGCTTTCCCAGTTGATCAAAGCCAGGGAGATGAGCCTACTTGACAGGCATCTCTCTCAAAAGTCACTCTAAACTGCTTGCTAGGCTCAATCCTAGCTGTTCTTAAATTCTTCTGTTTAAGATAATTTACTCTCCAACAGGATTAGTGATTTAAAAAAAACACATACTACATATTTGCTGTTTATTGTGTCCCTCCCCCTCCTACCTGTGCTCTGCTTCTGGCACTACTTTGCTGTGACAGGTGCCAAGCTATTCTTCTATACCCATCCTACCTGATGCAACATTAACACTTCATCATTGGCAGACTGGCCCCTTAAACCGAAAGGTTCAATCAATACCTCTTTCAGTTACACCCATGTTATTGGTGTAATTTCACTAGCAGCAGGCGTCTTGCTCTTAGTCATTCCAAAGAGGAAGTGGGAGTGTCCTTCGTTCTCTGCTAAGGCTTTCAGGGTCAAGGCAACCTATGCTGCATGAGCCAAATAACACCCAAATGTTCAAGTCAGGACATCACCTTTGCATATTTTGATGCACTTGAATGACAGATTTGGTTACTCCTGATTCTTTGGGACAACTATCTTCAGCATACAGGACAGGAGGTCCTCAGGTGTCACACAGTCATGTTCTGTCTTAGCTGCTTTTCTGTATCCTTTGGCCTGTATTGTTACACAATCGCAGAGTTTGAAATGAACTAGTTCTCATACTTCATTGCTTTGTCAGAACACGGCAGTTTAGAGGACAGTGGTGTGCACTATTAGATATCATTGTGAGAGAGAGACCATGCAAGATGAAACATCTGGCCCCAAAACACTGATGAAGGGAACAACATCAGTAATAATAACGTCTAGCACCTGGATCATTTAAGTCTCTTCCAAAAAGCAAGTTAAGCACTTAGGTCTGCCTTCTTTATGGATTGTTTTTCAAAATGGAAATTAGGGCCAGGCTTTCAAGGGCACTTGAAGATATTTTCAAAAGCCCTTAACGTGGTTAGGCAGGAAAGCACCCTGGAAAGCTATGGTTGTCAAGGGGGTTTGAAAGTCCTTAAGAGTCTAAAAATCTCTTTGGAAAAAAATTTGACCTTTACATACTTCTGTAAATTTAACTGGAGACACAAATCAATTAAGACCATTATGATCACAATTAACGTAGCTGGTATATGTAGCTTTCATGCAACATACCTGTTTGCAGTCTTGATATTCCAGGTTCAATACCAGGTTTACATCTTCATTCCTTATAGGAACTTTTCCACATGCCTCCACCCCACCCCCGAGACATCAAACACTATAGCACTTTTCAGTGCCAAAATATAACTTACCTTGCATTAAATATGAAGAACACAAAACAGCTTCATTTTTCTAGGTAAGACAGGTCACTGCAGACAGAAGAATATTTTACATCTGTTTTTCAAGGTTGGTCTTTGTCTGAAAAAAGACTATTTGGAAGCTTGGACACATAAGGGAGAGAACAGAAAAAAAATCCCTGTTACAAAGAAATTCTAAATACACTCATTAACAGATTGTTCAATCAGAAAAGATATATATATATTTTTTTTAACTAAATCTTGCGAGGGAAGTGAAATGTGAACAAACTCACTTTCACACACCACACATTTTGATATCTAATATATTTAAGCTTATAAAATTAATGTAAAACTTTAGATTGGGTTAAGATGCTTAGCAGCCTTAAGATATTAGGGAAGCATAACTAAACTTCCATTTCAAAATATAATTGAGGAAGCTAAAGTCTTAAAGTTTGAACAGAGACAGAAGATGCTTATGCTGTCTTAAAACTGAATCTACGGGAATTTTTACATGTGCAAGCGTTGCTTTGAAGAGCGCCTGGCACTGTGACGCTTGCAATTGTATAAGCGACAAAACGTGTGTCAGCATGAAGAAAATGGTTGTGGTGCATTTTGCTGCTTACACAACTGCAAGCAGTGCAGTGTGGTGTGCGTCATCTCCCACGCAGAGCAGACTTGATTGAGTCTGCTCTGAAGCAGCAGATCTCTGGCGCATCCAAGAACTAAAAGGTATGTATATAAATGCTTTATAGCAGTGCTTCTCAAAGTGGTGGTCCGCGGACTGGTGCTGGTCCACAAGCCACTGGTTGCCGGTCCGCACTTAGTTGCCAGGAAAGAAAGAAATACATTCTCTGGTCTGCAGCGAGTTGCCAGGAAAGAAAGAAATATATTTTCAGAAGCATAACATTGGTATGTAATAGTGCCACAGTTTGTATGTTCCAACATTCCAGGTGACGTCACATCATGCGAGGTGAGGAAAGAGAAAGAAACAGCCGGTCGCGCATTTGTGTAGCGCTGTTACACACAGCTGCTGCCACCGGCTGAACCGGGCACCGGTCCCTGGCCCACTGGAAAAAAAATTGCCGGTTTGCCACATCAGATAGTTTGAGAAGCACTGCCTTATAGCTCTAAATATATGGTCAGATATGAGCATGAAAATTCATGAGCATTGAATTAGTGATGCTATTAAGACTACATATGAAAATGAATTTTGCTTAAACTCATTCCACTGCATATGTGATGTCTTCAGTGCTGTGCTAGCATGTCATCATCATTGCTGACCAAAATCAAAGTTTCTAGTTGCTAAGGTGAGAAATACACAGCAAAACTGTGGTGCTGTTACTCAAAGTTAATAAATTGATCAGCAAAGACTCATATAGGAAGGTTCATCATCAACTTATGCTTACGGATGATATTTTTAAAAGGGTACATTAGGGGCATTATTGGCAGACATGGTCAGATGCATAGAATCAGAAATGAATAACAAATCAACTGATTAGTTGTGGCACAATTTATAAAAAAGTGGCCTACAGTTAACAGCGCTGGATATTGACTAAGCATAAGTTGTGAGTGAGAAGAAGAATGATGCTATCAAAGGGTGCTTCCACAAAGGGTCCTCTAACTTTTTTCTTCTTTCCACTGAAAGAAGAGATCAGGAGTAGGCTTGCTTGACATTTTTTCCTTAAATTTATCTTCTTTAGCTCAAATAACACCTTTTGCAAGTTTTAGTTTTAAGAATCCTATTTACCAGATAACTATGTTTTCATAGAAGCATATCTTTGAAACCTGGGTTGCAAGCAAGGGTTCATAACCTTCAAAAGGAGACTGGATGCACACATTGCTGGGGTTATTTGACCCCAGCAGTCTTCCCTGCAAAGAGCAGGGGGGCTGGACCCGATGATCTCACCAGGTCCCTTCCAGCCCTAAACTTCTGTGACACTGTAATTCAGAAAGGCATTTTAAAAAGTTGTTTATATATAGTATGTACTTAAGTGCTTTACTGAATAAGGGCCTAGGATAGCAAATATAAAGTTAGTTAAGTGTATGGGTACCATTCACCTACCTTCGTAGCACATGAATTGTCACTTACTTTGTTTCTTTCACACAGGAATAGTGTCACTAGCAAGAATTCCTTTAAACATGACTTTCACCACCTCTTTCCCTTTACTTCAGAGTAGACAGTACTTGGACTAGCTCCACTTAATTGTTTTCTATTAATATCTAAATTTGATCTTTAAAAGGAGCTAGCGGGTCAACATATTCCACTTCCAGACTTCTTCTGTTTGGATAGCCCCTGCAGTTATTTCAGTTAAACAAGAATCCATGCCAAGGTATAATGCAAAGTAATAAATGGTTTATTTTTTGCTTCAATCTTACAAGAATCTTTAGCAAA